GTACAATTCTTAACTGCACAGAAGGTGTTCAATAAAGTAAATCATCCAATCACGGACATGGATTATCTGTGAAACTTCTGCCTCTTTCATACGATTACACCTGAATACCCTTAACTACAGGCCAGCACTGGCACGATGCCAGTACTCACACAGATAACTGTTCAAATGCAAGTGCAATCAGTCTTCCAGATAAAAAAAACAACAACATCATAATAAACAAGCTATTCCATGTGTTAGTTTCACGGCAGCAGATTTTGTGAGTGCAATATACTGTAACTGTAGTACATCAAAGATATAAATTAAACATTCGGTGATATCACTATCCCCACTCGATACGTACATTTGAAGTCCACTGCTTTCAGGCTCAATCTAGTTGGCACTGTATGTTTTCCTCAAGAACTGAAGTTCACCTGTTTCACAAGCAAAAACTCAAATGACAATTTCCATGCCTGAATCAAGATTGGAAAAAACTACTTTTGTTTGACAAGCAACATTGCCAATAGAAAGTCAAAGCTGCATCTCTCAGAATAAAGTTTATACAAAGTTACCAATGTGGCAGCTTCACTTATAGTATCTGATATTCTTCAAAGTTGAATCAATTCAACCTTCTGTCCATGCATCTTTATTGGTACATACCACAATGATGCCAAATCAATGCTTGTCTGCACCATACCATTAGGTGCAAAGTGATTTACGACCTTGTCTAAACTGGTGGTTACACCAAACTCACACTCAACTAGTTTACACTAGTCAGAGCACTTGTAGTCATAGTTGGCAGTCAATCCTTTAGCACCTACTGCAATAATGGAATACTGGTTGGAATAATACTTGTCCTGAATAATCCTGTTTCAAAACTGAATGTGAACATTCTCATATCCAGTGACCAGGTAAGCCACAGTTGAAGTAGGGAATTCATTACTCATGCTCCAACTGCAATGATACAGCCATGGTAATTGGACTTGGGATGTCCTGTTGCCCCATTCAGAATCATTGAAGCTGTATCTTGACACATGTGCAGCGGGAGCTGTAGATCAGGTCTTGAGGAATTTCATGGACTCTACAAGTTGCCTTGGTGAAGAATCTGCAGATATGCTTGCCTCTGATGCTACCATTTTCTGCTCAGGTATACGATTCAATGTAGCCACTTGAAATCATCACAGAAACTTTCTCTGGGAGGTGAGATATCCCCAATACCCATGCCACTTGGGTTCATTCAACAGTCCCATCATAAATTTAATGATGAGTATTGCATTGTGATCAACAAGAGACTTGCTTAGAAATGTTTTCCCACACAATGTCCTTAGATCACATACACAAGCAGCTTAGTTCTGACTGGGCCACTGCCTTTGAACTTTAAGCTCAGAACTATGGATAACTTTGCTCTCCACATGGTCCAATCTGTGGCACAGCTCATTGGCCACTGTACCTTAATTACACAGTTTTTTATTGTAAAAATGTTCTATGTCATTAACTGCCAAACTATATAGACTTAGAATCAGATGTCGCACTACCTGTTTAAAGCCATAACTTCCTGAAACATTTGATGAAATGGCTCAAATTCTCTTTCACTGTCCTTTTAAGCCCCATCTGGACCAAGGTGTGGAGAAAGTACTTATTGGTCTTCTATGTTTTCGTGTTCTCAACCAAACTGAATGAATATTTGAACAAACGTTTTAAATAACATATCGTTTGTGCAAGAAAAAAAAATTAGTATTTTTATACTTTTCTCGGTTGTAAAGATCTGAAATGTTGTTGTGAAACTACCTTTAGAAAACAATATAAATACCACCTTTCATTGCAAATTATCAATTTTGTGTTATTCATGAGAATGTTTCATACTTTTCTCGGTTGTAAAGTTCTGAAATGTTGTTGTGAAACTACCTTCAGAAAACAATATAAATACCACCTTTCATTGCAAATAATCAATTTTGTGTTATTCATGAGAATGTTTCATTTTATACATACGAGTTTTAATTTATTTGATATTCATTAAAATATTCTTGATATTTTATTTTGCCAATTGAAGCAACTGACTTCCCTTGATAAATGATATAAACATGGCAAGACTTATTACAAAGATTTAACAGATACCAATATCCTCATCTTTCAAAATGGCATCACCTTAGTTAGGTGTCATAGCATATTTCGATATCACAATAGTTTAGCTGAGATCAACCAATATCTAATAACAGTTATAGTTTATTTTCTGTAAATAACTTCTCATACTTTTTGTTGTTTGAATACAACAAACTTAAAGGATCTATGTCATCAATGGTAGTTTGCCACCAGTGGTATAGCAAGATAATCCATGTGGGTTATCATAATTTGAATTATAAGTATAATTTGGATGGGAATAGCCTTAACAGTGTTATGAAGTAAAGGGATCTTGGTGTAATAGTCTCTAAAGCCATCCAAGCAGTGTGCTGTTGCTAGTGGTAGGGCAAATGGGATTTTAGGTTGTATCTATAGAAATATTGAATACAAGTCCAAAGAGGTTAGGTTAGGCCACATTTGGAATATTGTGTTCAGTTTTGGGCTCCTTACCTTAGGAGGGACATTGAATTGTTGGAAATGGTTCAGAGAAGGGTTAGTAGCATGGTGTCTGGGATGGAGGGGTTATCATACAATGAGAGTCTGAAATCTCTCAAATTGTTTTGTCTTGAAAAAAGAAGAGTTA